TAAATTTTTATTTATTTTATTTCATATATATGAATGTTTTGCTCACATGTACATGTGTGTACTACTTGGATGCTTGATGCTCACAGAGGCCAAAAGAGGGTGCTACATCCCATGGATGGAGTTATGGATAGATAAGCTGCCATGGGTGCTGGGAACTGAACCTCAGTCCTCTGCAAGAGTAGTCAGTTCTCTTAACTTCTGAGCCATCTCTCCAGACCTTTAATAAATTAACATTTATTTATTTATTTTATTATTATTATTATTTTAAACAGGATTTCTCTGTATAGCCTTGGCTGCCCTGGAAGTAACTCATAAACCAGGCTGGCCTCAAACTCACAGAGTTTGCCTGCCTCTGTGTCCCAGGTGCTGGGATTAAAGGAGTGTGCCTTTAACATCTTGTGATGTTTAATGAACAAAATTAAGGTTTAACCACAGTCCCTGTGGTGACCATTGATGAAAGTTTTAGAAGAATGTTTTTTCTTTCTTTTCTTTTAAATTCTGAGAACTAAACTCATGGCATCCTACATTCTAGGCATCTGCCCCTCTGTAAGCTACCCCTCTAACCCCCAACCCTTTAATATTAATTTTAATCCCTCTTTATATCAGCATACAGACATGGTGAGACTTTGTACCTTTGCCAGTGCCTTGTAGCTTAACAGTTGCCCATATGAAAGGAGAATGACCCCTGTTTTTGTAGAACTTACAGAAAACGCGTTCAGCGAGAGTAGGAGATGTCTCTTCATCCCAATTTTTACTTTTACCTTTTACATAATATTTTTTATCAATTCTTTGAGAATGCCATACAGTGTATTTTGTTCATATTTACCCTCTACTCTACCCCTCCTTTTATTTCCTCCTAGATCTACCCTCCCTGGCCCCTTCCAACTTCATGTTCTCTTTTCTTCTTTTCTCGCTTACTAATCCAAGTCCAGTTGGTGCTGTTGGTTTACTCGAGGGTATAGGACCACCCACTAGAGTGTGGTCACCGACCAGGGCCACACACTCAAAGAAAGCTGACTCAGTCTCCCTCAGAAGCTGTCAATGGTCAGTAGCTCCTCAAGTGGGGCTGGGGGGGCTAGTGAGCCCCTCCCCCACAAATATAAGACTGTGGACCAGCTTGATCTTGTACAAACAACCACAGCTGCTGTGAGCACGTGAGTGTAGCAGTGAATCTACTTCCTTGCTTTCCTCTGGCTTCTACTGTCCTTTTTGCCTCTTCTTCTACCACGGTCTGTAATCCTTGTATGGGAAGGGTGGTACAGATGGCCCATTTGTGGCGGAACACTCCACAGGACTTTTTCTCTGCATTTGGCCAAGTGAGAGTTTCTGCATTAACTACCATTCGTTACACAAAGAAACCTCTCTGATGAAGTCTGACAGCTGCACTAATATATGGGTATAGGTATGCAAATGCCGAGTACAGTTTAATATTATGTCCATTTATCAAAATAATAGCAGTAGATTCACTCTTGGAATCTGTAAGCTCCCTATCCATGGGTTCTTGGCCAGTTTCACAGTACTAGGCATGCATTTCTCCCTGTGGTGTGGACCTTAAATCCAACCAGAAATCAGTTGGCCACCTCCATATTATTCCTGGCACTATTACACCCATGTGCCCAATTTACCCCACCAATCATTTCAGTCAGTAGGATTCACAGCTGAGTAAAACTGTTGATCACACACACCCTCGCCCTTAGCAGTCTCATAGCACCTTTCAGGATGATCAAAGCTAGCCTGCAGGGAGGGAGCTTCCTGATGGGTACTGACTTGATTTCTCTGTTCCTGTGACCACAGTGTGTAGTATCTCAGCAGTAGAATCTCACCATTAAGTTCTGGTGGACAACCAAGAGCAGTGATCATAGCCTTTATTATTTGGGGGTCTCTGGGACACTCATGACCAACCACTTGAAGGGTGGTATTCTGCATGTGGCACTGGGCTTTTTCATTTGGCAGCTTATGGCTTCTGGGAGGAGCATTGTCCTCTGTGTAGCATAACTCCAGCTCTTCTGCATGCTACAGTTACAGATGCATGCATCATTCGATTCAGCAATGCAGCCTCTGAGAATTTACTTTTACAGGTATGTTTGTCCACACCTTAAATGATTTTGTATCCTAGGTTTTTACAGTGGACTATCAGAAACAACTAAAGTGTATCTATTTTTTTCTTCCTTTGCTTGAGAAAGTTTTTATTATGTAGCCCAGCCTGGCCTCAAGCCCATAATCCTCCTGCCTTAGCTGGGTAAGTGCAGGGATTACAGGTATGCACCACCACATCCAGCAACGTCAGTGCTCCTGTAGCTCAGCTTAATTAAGTTATGATGTATCTGTACAGTGGGATATTATGCTGCTGTCACAAAAGAGGAGGCTCCCTTTGTTAAGGATATGAATTTCAAAATAAGTTGTAGTAAGAAAGAGCAATATGTAAGCCATTGTGTGTTGCTGTGCATAATGTTGTCACATTATTTAAAAAATAAGTAGATTAAACATCTCTGATAATGGGATTAGAGAAATGGCTCAGTACATCAAGAGCACTGGCTGCTCTTCCAGAGGACCCAGGTTCAATTCCCAGAACCCACATGGCAGCTCACAACTGTGTGTAACTCCAGTACCAGGGGACCCAGTGCTGCCTCCTGGCCTCCGAAGACTGCATGCGTGTGATGCCTAGACATACATGCAGACCAAACACCCACACACAACATAAAGATGGAAGGAAAAGATCTGAGGACGTTTATCTGTGGACAGGAGAACTGAGTGACTGGAGAATGGCAAGGGAGTGATGTCTGTCTTTAATGGGCTTTTGAATACTAATTTTTAAAAGTATTAATTTTTAAAACATGAATCATCTATTTTTTAAAAAATCATCTGCACTGAGGTTATTGGGAGCTTCCGGTCTTTGTGTCTCTTGGCTCTGATCTAGTCTCTCCTTTGTCTTTCTTAAGGACACATCCAGCTACCTATTCTGCTGCCTTCTGAGTTTCCTGGCAGCAAAAGAGCTTCTGTTTTTCTTTTCCTTTAATTTTTTTTTTTTTTTTTTACCCTTTCCTCTTGCATTCAGAATCTATTAAATTGATGACTGAATGCAGTCTACTACTCCACATTCTCACTTATGAGTACATTTTACATCTTTTATTGATTCTTAGAATTGAGATGATTCCCAGTACACGTTCCCCCTATTTTGTGGTACTGGGGGTAGAACTCATAGTTTTGTACATGGCACCTGTGTCCCCCTAAACAAGGCCATGTCATGAAGCACAGACTGGCCTCTACTCAAAACAATGCTGCTTGTACCTCTCAAATGCTAGGACTACAGCTGCCACAGTGCCCAGCTTCTCCCCTGCCCAGCCCCCCCTTTTTTTTTTACTTGTTTGCTTATTCATTTTCTTGTGTGTCTTTCACGTGTTAATTTGGTGCTGGGTGTTGATCAGAGGCTTTGGTTGCTAACAGGTACTCTTGCTGAGTTCTACCTCAGTCAGTAGTTCCATGCGGGCTCACTCTCATGTCCCCGTGTTAAACTCACACAGTGTAAGCTGCACACTGTGCTTCACTTATTTACCTATTAGATTTTGGTATGAATTTGCTTAGATTAACATTAAAAATAACTATACTGGATTCCACCGTGTATATGAATATATTTAATCATGCCTCTCAATGGAAACTGGAGCTGTCCCCATTCTTTTTTTTTGGTTTTGTTGTTGTTGTTGTTGTTTTTGTTTTTGTTTTTTTTTTTTTTTTTTTTTGCTTCGAGACAGGTTTTCACTATAGCTTTGGAGCCTGTCCTGGCACTTGTTCTGTAGAGCAGGCTGGACTCAAACTTACAAAGATCTGCCTGCCTCTGCCTCCTGAGAGCGGGGATTAAAGGCAGGCATCACCACTGCCCAGCTTTTCTTCGTTGTTTTGAGACAGGGTTTCTTTGTGTATGTAGCATTGGCTGTCCTAGAACTAGCTCTGTAGACCAGTCTAGCTGTGAACTCACAGAGATCCACCTGCCTCTGCCTCCTCAGTTCTGGGATTAAAGGTGTGAGCCACCACCACCCATCAAGTTGTCCCCGCTTTCTTGCTATCACAGTGTCACAACAGGTAACCTAGGAGAGACATGCCTCTATATAAGACATTATCTGTAGGATAAATTCTTAGAATTGTTAGGCATGGTCTGTACATTGAAAGGTTGGAAACAGTTTTATTATAATTTGTGTGTGTGTGCGCGCGCACAAATCTTGGAGTGTGGTGAGGTTATGCAATAATATATTAGTATTCTCCCCTTTCACTGTGTGGATTGTGGGAACTAAACTCAGACCCTTAGGTTTGGTGGCAGGTACCTTTATCCACAGAGCCATCTTGCTGGCCCCTGTGCATTTAAAATTTTGATCATTTCAAGTCGCCATCCTTAGACATTTAGTAGTTCATAGGATATAAGGTTACACATGTTTTCAAAAGACTTCCAGTGAGGGCTGGAGAAATAGCTCAGTGGTTAAGAATGCTTGTTGCTCTTCAGCAGGTTGGAAGTGAGTTTCCAGCACCCCTGGTCAGGTAACTCAGAGCCTTCCCTAACTACAGATTCAGGGGATCCTCCATCCTCTTCTGGCCTCCAGGGGCATCTGTACGTGTGCACATCCCCACACAGAGACACACATATACATAATTTAAAAGTAAAATAAACCAAAGAATGAAAAGACAAAAGTGTGATGCTTCATGCTTGTAATCCTAGCATGTGGAGATGGGAGCAGGAGATAAGGCTGAGCCCGTTCTCCAATAAAAGGAAAGCAGAAAGCTTCCTGTAGTTTCTATTCATAGTATAAAATCAAATATTAATTGAGGGTGGATAAGAATTAATGTTAGTGGACTAGAGCCTTTAACTACTGAAGGTCCTGTGAAGAGAAATACTCTGTACTAAAATGATTAAATGTGGCTATCAGAAGCAAGTGAAGATGACTTATGTACCATTGCTGTCAGGCAGCCCCTGATGACAGCTGTACCACGCTCATTACTTTTTTTTTTCCTAGGACTTTAGCATCCTGAGCCATTTTCGATTCATAGCTCTCAAAGCTAAGCTGGTCAGAATTCATCATGTCCAAGTTAAAAAGCTCAGAGTCAGTCCGGGTGGTGGTTCGCTGTCGGCCCATGAATGGCAAAGAAAAGGCTGCATCCTATGACAAGGTAGTAGACGTGGATGTGAAGCTGGGGCAGGTGTCCGTGAAGAACCCCAAAGGCACATCCCATGAGATGCCCAAGACCTTCACCTTTGATGCCGTCTATGACTGGAATGCTAAGCAGTTTGAACTCTATGACGAGACGTTCCGACCACTCGTGGACTCTGTCCTACAGGGATTCAATGGCACAATTTTTGCCTACGGACAAACGGGAACTGGGAAAACCTATACTATGGAGGGAGTCCGTGGTGACCCTGAGAAAAGAGGGGTCATCCCCAACTCATTTGATCACATCTTCACCCACATTTCTCGATCGCAGAATCAGCAGTACCTGGTCAGGGCTTCTTACTTAGAGATCTATCAGGAAGAGATCCGGGACTTACTCTCAAAGGATCAAACCAAAAGGCTAGAGCTCAAGGAGAGACCTGACACAGGCGTGTATGTGAAAGATTTGTCTTCCTTTGTCACCAAGAGTGTGAAGGAGATAGAGCATGTGATGAATGTGGGGAACCAAAACCGGTCTGTCGGTGCTACCAACATGAACGAGCACAGCTCACGGTCACATGCGATCTTTGTCATCACAATCGAATGCAGCGAGGTGGGTCTAGATGGTGAGAACCACATCCGGGTAGGAAAACTGAACCTTGTAGATCTTGCTGGCAGTGAGCGGCAGGCCAAGACTGGCGCTCAAGGGGAAAGACTAAAGGAGGCGACCAAGATCAACCTGTCCCTTTCAGCCTTGGGTAATGTTATCTCTGCCCTGGTAGATGGCAAAAGCACCCATATTCCATATAGAGACTCAAAGCTGACTAGGCTTCTCCAAGATTCCCTTGGTGGCAATGCCAAAACTGTTATGGTAGCCAATGTGGGGCCTGCGTCTTACAATGTAGAGGAGACCCTAACCACTCTGAGATATGCCAACCGTGCCAAAAACATTAAGAACAAGCCAAGGGTCAATGAGGACCCAAAGGATGCTCTGCTTCGAGAATTCCAGGAAGAAATTGCTCGGCTCAAGGCCCAGCTGGAAAAACGTTCCATTGGCAGGAGGAAGAGGAGAGAGAAGCGGAGGGAAGGTGGTGGCAGTGGCGGGGGTGGGGAGGAGGAGGAGGAGGAGGGAGAAGAGGGTGAGGAGGAAGGGGATGATAAGGATGATTACTGGCGGGAACAGCAAGAAAAACTGGAGATTGAGAAGCGGGCCATTGTAGAGGACCACAGCTTGGTTGCAGAGGAGAAGATGAGGCTGCTGAAGGAGAAGGAGAAAAAGATGGAGGATCTGCGGCGGGAGAAGGATGCTGCCGAGATGCTGGGTGCAAAAATCAAGGTACTGTGCCCTTGCTTATGTCCCTTCCCCTTTCAGTGCCATTTCTTTGATCAAAAGAATTATATAGTGGGGGTTTGGCATAGTTACAAACACAGTTAACCCCAGCACCCAGGAGGCAGAGGCAGGTGGGTATTTTGTAAGGACTACATAGTAAGTTCCAGAACAGCCAGAGTTACAGAGTGAGACTTTGTCCTTCAATTCCCCAAAGTAAAAGTCAAAACCAAATTGCATTCATGATAGTTGCTGTGTATGTATGTGCACTGTATGAAGAACAGCAATAAAACTAACACCCAGGTATCCTCCCTTCCCGTAAGGGATGGGACAGCCCTCTTCTCCTTCCTTCCTTCCTTCCCTCCCTCCCTCCCTCCCTTCCCTCCCTCCCTTCCTTTCCTCCCTTCCTTCCTTCTTTCCTTTCTTTTTTCTTTCTTTTGAGATAGTTTCTCTGTATAACAGCCCTACCTGTCCTGGAACTAGCTCTGTAAACCTGGCTGGCCTTGAACTCACAGAGATCTGCCTGACTCTGCTTCCTGAATGCTGGAATTAAAGGCACACAGCACCACTGCCCAGACTCTCTTTTTTCTTTGAGAAAGTAGGTATCACTTTAATTATTCAATGTTTGTAGAGCAGTCTGGCTCTGACTCAGCAATCTTCCTGCCTCAGCCTGCCAAGTGTACACCACTGCCTAGAATGAGCACAGGTGTATGCCACCATGCCCATTCACCATGCCCATTTTATGTGGTGCTGAGGATCAGAGCCCTGGAGTGGTGCATGTGGGCAAACACTCTACCAATTGAGCTCCAGCCTCAGCATCCATTTTCCTTAGATGCTCCTGTGTTCCCTCTTCCAAGGGTAGTCATCTTGAAAACAGTGTTTGTTGTTGCCTTGCTTTTTGTGTGTGTTTGTTTGTTTTGTTTTAGCTCATCTGACTGGTTTCACTGGGCTTTTGCTTAAGGTGCTACCACAGTTTGTGGTACAGGCATCAGTAGGTTCATCCCTGACAACCTGTACTGATGCCTGTGGTTGTGTCCATCACGATTACTGTTCTGAATATTCTGTGATGTCCCAGTCTCCTCTTCTGGACCGTTTGTTTCCATGTTCTACTGTGCCTCTTCTTGTACTTGGTTCCAGGAGACTTGCTGACATCTTTAGATTTAGAGTGAATCTTTTCCCTTTCTTTCTTTCTTTCTTTCTTTCTTTCTTTCTTTCTTTCTTTCTTTCTTTCTTTCCTTCCTTCCTTCCTTCCTTCTTTCCTTTTCTTTTTCATTCTTTTGAGACAGGGTTTCTCTGTGTAGCCCTGGGTGTCCTAGAACTCGCTCTGTAGACCAGGCTGGTGGAGAACTCAGAGATCTGCCAGCCTCTGCCTGGCTCTAGAGTGAATCTTTTGAAGCACTCACTTTACCTCTCATCCTACCGACAATGGTGATTATCTGAGCAACTTTTGTATATAGTGAGAATAAAGTATCTTTGTGTGTTTTTAGCCCAGTCCCCTGGTTGAATGCTGCTGGTTAGTTCTACCACCGCTAGCCAGGGCCATACCCCTGCTAAGAATGACCTCTTGACAACCCTACTCTCCAGTCCCCTCATTTTATCTTTTCATAGGCTGTATCAACAGGAGCTGGTACACAAGGAGCTAAGTAAGGTGCTAGAAGCAGTGGGCACTGGCGAGGCTGCTGCACCTGGCCTGATCCTACTCCAGACCCCAGTCCACCCCTTTCTTACTGAATTTCTACAAATTTTAATTTCTTCTCTAAAATAAGTGCATGTTCTCTCCCTCTACCTACTCTTCTCCTTTTCTGCAACGTGGTCTCACTCTGTAGCTCTGGCTGGCCTGGAGTTCAATATTTAGAATAAGCTGGCCTCAAACTCACAGAAATATGTTTCTGCCTCATGAGTGCTCAGATTAAAGGTGTGCCACCATATACCTGGCCTCAGCTAAAGTTTCTTTAGTTTCTTTTCTTTCTTTTTTTTTTTTTTTTTTTTTTTTTGGTTTTTTTTCAAGACAGGGTTTCTCTGTGTAACAGTCCTGGCTGTCCTGGAACTTGTTTTGTAGATCAGGCTGGCCTCAAACTCACATATGCACACCTGCCTCTGCCTCCTGAGTGCTGGGATTAAAGGAGTTCGCCACCACTGGCTGCCTAGCTAAAATTTCTTAAGAGAGCAAGGCCGAGGAGGTTTTGGTTTCTGGACTTGCATTGGCTCTCCTGGCCTTAGCTACATGTGCATGCTGAGGCTCTCAGTCTGTACAGCCCGCCCATAGCCACCTTCTGACACTCAGACCCCACAGCCTCCTGCTGACCGCAGCCATCACAGCAGTCTTCCACTTCCTTACCTCAGTGAAGCTCGACTCCTAGGAGTTGTCCTTGCTTTTTTATCATCTCCTCAGTCTCAAGGCTTCTTGCTCTTACCTCACCAGGGCCTTTGCAACCACCCACTCACCCACCCACCACCACCACCACCACCACACACACACACACACACACTGCTCAGTAGCCTCCTGCCTGCACTCCAGCAGCATGCCCCCTTCCACCACCAACACACACACACACACACACACACACACACACACACACACACACACACACACACTGCTCAGTAGCCTCCTGCCTGCACTCCAGCAGCATGCCCCCTTCCAGGAATTCCCGTTTTGGGAATTCAATCTTAAAACACAGTTTGACTGTGTGTGTTCATGCTCCTTAAGGCTCTCAAGCCTGGTTTTTAACAGGGCTCTGAGGCTTTTGCATCAACCTCTACTGGCTTTGTCAACTTCCTTATTCTGCCCTCTTGCTAACAAAAATCTGTTTTGTTTTTTTTTTTCTTAGCAAATTCTTACTCTTTACTTCAGTTTTTTTTTTTTTTTTTTTTTTTTTTTTGTGTGTGTGTGTAGATGTCCCTTTAGACAGGAAGCTGTCCCTGACTTCCTCCAAAAGCCTGCCTCCTCTCCTTTCACCCCTCACATTAGTTCCCCAAACTTCCCTTACAATAGCATCTCATACCATCTGGTTAAAGCCTGTCTACTTGTTTGTGTCCCTGAGTGGGCTCTGGCCTCATGGTCCTCACTGGCAGATCTCCAGTCTGTAGCAGCCAGATAGATTTAGTGTATCTAGAATGGGATTAGTGCTATGGATAAACAACCCAATAAAGGACTTGCTTAAAAAACAAACAAACAAACAGGAGGCTGGAGAGATGGCTCAAAGGATAAGAGCACTGCCTGCTTGTCCAAAGGACCTGGGTTCAATTCCCAGCACACACATGGCAGCTCACAACTATCTGTAATTCAAGTTCCAGTGGGTCTGACAACTTCATACAGATATAAATGCAGGCAAAACACCAATGCAAATAAATACAAATTAAACAAACAAACCCTGAAAGCCACAGCTATCTCAAACATCAGAGTGAAGTCCCATCCCGTTATGGGCAGGGTGCATTTATTTTTCCCTAGGGTAATCTTTTTCTTGCTGACTTTGGGGGAGTGTTGTTTTTGTTTTGTTGTTGTTTGTTTGGTCTTAATATGTAGCCCAGGCTGGCCTGTAACTTGTAATCCTCCAGCCTCAGCCTTTTGAATATGTGGGACCACAGGCATGCACCATCACGCTTTGCCAGTCACAAGAGTGTCCTTCAGGTCTTCCTGCAAAGGGCTATATTCTGGGAGAGACCTCAGGATGGGTTTTACTTTTTTCTCACTCAGGCCATGGAGAGTAAGCTGCTTGTTGGAGGAAAAAATATAGTAGATCATACAAATGAACAACAGAAGATCTTGGAGCAGAAACGCCAGGAGATCGCAGAGCAGGTAACTTTGCGTTCTTGTGTGGGGAGGAAGGTGTGGACTGACATGATTGAGGCCACAGAGCTGATACCTGTGGTATGAGAGCAGCTCCAGAGGGAACGGAGAGGAGCTGTCAGCCCCATGCTAGCCGGAGACCGACTGCGAGCATCCAAACCCGTACTGTGTAGACATGGTCGCTAGGGCAAGCTGATGAATTTTGTGGTATCGCTCAGAAACGTCGAGAAAGAGAAATCCAGCAGCAAATGGAAAGTCGGGATGAGGAGACCTTGGAACTCAAAGAGACTTACACCTCACTGCAGCAGGAGGTAGACATCAAGACCAAAAAGCTCAAAAAGGTGAGAGGCAGAGGTCTGGGAGCCCTGGGGGAGGGGTACCGTCTTCGGACTGCCTTTGCTCATCTGTGTCTCCCCGGCTCCAGCTCTTTTCCAAGCTCCAGGCTGTGAAGGCTGAGATCCATGACCTGCAAGAAGAACACATCAAGGAGCGCCAGGAGCTGGAGCAGACACAGAACGAGCTCACCAGGGAGCTAAAGCTCAAGTGAGTACCGGTTGGCAGGGTCCTGCCATCCACTAGGTCAGAAGACCCGTCCAAGGATAGCCCACCTGCTTCCTGTCAGCTCACTCTTTGCCACCCCACTGTCCCCTGCTGTTCCTGACAAAGTCACTTTTCATTTCAGTCTGTTTCTGTGAGATTACCACGTGATCTCCCCATTCCCTCTGCCTTATCTCTTTCCCCATTGAGAGCATCTCCCCGTTCCCTCGCCCTCATCCTTGTCCCTTTTGAGATGCTCTGGCCTCACCTGTCACTCAAGAGAGAATCTTTTATTACCTTTGTCATGAACTTATTTCGAACACCTTCATACCCACCAACCAGAGTACAGTAAGAACCACTGTTCTCACGAAGTCTGGGCATCTTTCTTTTTGAGACAGGGTCTCATGTAGCCCAGTCTGGCCTCAGATTTGCTGTGTAGCCAAGGATGGCCTTGAACTCCTGGTGATATGTACCATCATGCTTAGTTTATGTGGTGCTGAATATCAAACCCAAGGCCTCGTGCAAACACTGTTCTGCATCCCCAGACACCTGAGCAATGCATTTTTTTAATGCTCTGTAGATGATACAATATAGCAGAACATGTCTGTCATTTCAGCACTTGGAAGGTTGAGGCAGGAGGATCACAAGCCCAACCCAGACTGTACATGAGATCTTGTCTTAAAAACAAATAGCCACAATGAAAAACCAGCTTGAGGTGATGTTAGTGTTTCAACCTACCAACAAACCAACAAGAAGGATCTCTGGATCTTTTTCTTTATTTTTTTCTGAGACAGGGTCTCATGGTGCAGCCCTGGTTGACCTGGAACTCACTAGGTAGACTAGGCTAGTGTCGAACTCACAGAGATCTTCTTGCCTGTGCCTCTGCCTCCTGAGCACTGGTATTGAAGGGATTTTCTTTTAGTTTGGCTTTTTTTTTTTTTTTTTTTTTTTTTTTTTAATCTTACATATCTACCTCATTTTCTCTTCCCTCCTCTCCTCCCAGTTCCTCCCCCTCATCTCCTCTCCTCTACCTCACCCCATTCACTCCTCCTCTTCTCTTCAGAAAAGGGCAGGCCTCCCATGGATATCTACCAGCCATGGTATATCAAACTGCAGTGAAACTAGGTACCTCCTCTCCTATTAAGGCTGGATGCAGCAACTAGTGGGAGGAAAGGGTCCCAAAAGCAAGCAACACAGTCAGAGACAGCCCCTGCTCCTACTATTAGGAGTCCCACAAGAAGACTAAGCTATGTAACTGTCACATATATGTAGGGGGGCTAGGTCAGTCCCATGCAGGCTCCCTGGGTGCTGGTTCAGTCTCTGTGAGCCCTTATGAACCCAGGTTAGTTGATTCTGTGGTTCCCTAGACCCCTCTGGCTCCTATAATCCTCCTTCCCCCCTCTTCCTCCGGCTTCCCCAAGCTCAGCCTAATGTTTGGCTGTGGATCTCCGCATCTGTTTCCATCAGTTGGTGGGTGAAGCCTCTCTGATGACCATTGGGCTAGGCACAAGTCTATGAGTATAGCAGAATATCATTAGGAATCATTTCATGGCTTTTATGGCTTTTTTCTTTTTCTTTTTTTTTTTTTTTTTTTTTTTTTGCCAGTTGTGTTTGGTTCTATGATAGGTCTCTGCGCCACCCCACATCTAGGTCCTGGCCCTCCAGCCAGTGTCAGGGTTGAGCTCCCTCTCATGGTGTATGTTTGAGCTAGAGCAGTCATTGGTTGGCCACTCCCACAACTTCTGTGCCACCTTTACCCCAGCACATCTTGTAGGCAGGACAAATTGTAGGTCAAAGGTTTTGTGGCTGGGGTGGGGTCCCAATCCCTCCACTGGAAGTCTTGCCTGGTTACAGGGTAGCTGATTCAGACTCTGTGTCCCCCATTGCTAGGAGTCTTAGCTAGGAGTCACCCCCATAGATTTCTGAGGGTTTCCTTTGCACTATGTTTCTAGCTCTTCCCAGAGACTCGCCCCCTATTCCAGTTGTCTCTCCCTCCATCCTCCCCCTCTACTGATCCCTCTTGTTCCTATCCACACTGTCCCTATCCAGACTCCTCCCCTAAAGGGATTTTCAAACAGGTTCTTTTCCTGGTCAAGTTTTAAATTTGGGAAGAAGCCCTTAAAATTCAATGTGTGTAAGGGGGCTGAAGAGATGGCTCAGTGGTTAAGAGCACTTGCTGCTCCTACAGAAAACCTGGGTACAGTTCCCAACACCCACATGGCAGTTTATAACCATCTGTAACTCCAGTTTCCAGGAAATGTGACACCCTCTTCTGGCTTCTGTGGGCACCACAATGGTGCCCAGACTTAGATTTAGGCAAAACACTCAGATGTATAAAGTAATCTAAAAAAATTCGCCAAGCAGTGGTGATGCACACCCTTCATCTCAGCATTGGAGAGGTAGAGGCAGGCAGATCTCTGTGAGTTCAAGGCCAGCCTGGTCTGCAAATTGAGTTCCAGAACATCCAGAGCTATAACACAGAGAAACCCTGTCTTGAAAAACAAAAAAAAAATTCAATTTGTGGGGTTGCTAAGATGAATCACAGGTAAAGGTCCTTGCTCTGCAACTCTGGTGACTGGAGTTTGATCCTTAGCGGTAGAAGGAGAGAATTTAATAAATTCCCTGACCTCTACACATGCACTGTTGCACTATTACACTTACACACACACACACACACACACACACACACACACACACACAAATAACTCACAATTTCACTGTTTGTTTCAGTCTTCTTTGTAGGCGTGTACTTCTAGACAAAAGATCAGAACAAGAACTGTCAAAATAATAATAGTCATCCATGGATACTGGAATTAGGAATAATTATATTTTCTAATACATAAATAGAACCTTTGCAATCAGAAAATCATGTTGTGAAAAATAATCCTTGAAATATCAAACAAAAGAAAGAGAAAATGTCACATCCTCAAACTGTTTGAGTAAGCCATTTTTTTCTTAGTGCCTTATACTTCTGAGGCCATTGTCCCATGTCCATCCCATAGTAACACCCCTTTGCTATTGTTTATTCTGTAGTTTTGGAATAATGGAGGCAAATATGGGCCAGTCACAACCACAGAGATAACCTAGTGAGGTCTTGTTTCCTGTTTAATGTAGTCCTTTTAGCCCCGGCTCACCTGTAACTCACTGTGTAGCACAGGCTGATCTTGAATTCATGGTCCTCTTGCTTTAGCTTCCAAGTAGTAGGACCACAGTATGTGTCAGCTGCCTGGTTGTTTGATGCTCTTTTCGGCCACTGGTCAGGCAGAGGCTCTTGTCAGGAATCGTCTTTATTTTGGAGTTGGAAGGAACTTCCATTCATTCGTTACTAACCTGGATGATTAGAATGGATAGTGTTGCAGCTTAGGCAGCAAGTCACAGAACTGGATCACACATACATACATGCACACACCCCTTTGTTCACTCACATTACAATGCCTGGGTAGAAGTGACCTTTCCTTATTCCTGGGACAGCCCACTCCTAGCACCTGTCAGTGCTGTACTGCTTTCTCTTTGTATCAGGTAAGGACCAGGTGTCTTTCATGTTTGTGTCTCGGTTTTGTGTACGGTATTAACTTATAGTACTTGCTCAGTATATGTTTGCTGAGTGACTTGACTCTTATTTTGTTGTTGTTTTTGAAGAAAGGACCTCACTGTAGCCTAGATGGTATCATAGACTCAAGGGGACCTTCTGCTCCAGCTTCCCGGGTAGCTGCTATAGGTGTGTGCCACTGCCTGGTTCTGTGCGTATTCTAAATCTGTATTTATCTATGTGTGTTCTTATAGGCATCTTATTATAGAAAATTTTATCCCCTTGGAAGAGAAGAATAAAATTATGAATAGATCCTTTTTTGATGAAGAAGAAGACCATTGGAAATTACATCCTATAACTAGACTGGAGTAAGTCACTGTTGACCTAAAGTAGACAGGCTGGTGGGAAAACAGAATGTTGCATGATTGGACTGGGCCACTGGGATATGGGGAGAATGTGCTGAAACTTGGAGCCTACCTGCCTGATGTTGTGGCAGCCACAGGTCCAGGGGGTACAAGCTGGGTCCCAACTATGACATTAGAAACTGGGAGACTTTGTCACTCATGAACTAGTTATAGCTTTTCCCATGACCTTAAAATTTCCTTTTCCCCATCAACTGAGGTATGCTAGGGAATGGGACAGAGGAATCTACACCTAGGCCATGCTGGCGATGTGGAGCTGTCTGTCAAGGATGCAGGAATAGTAGTGCTGGTAAATATACTTGTCTGCTGCCTGAGAACAAGACAATGACTGAGGTCCCTTCCAGGTTCAAAGAAGTGTGATGCCCACATTTGGATCACATAGCTCCTCAAGCAAAAAGAGCTAAGCATTTAGCACATGGCTTCATTAGCCTTAGTCCCGGAAGTTACTGCTTGTTCTCTCTGGCTTGGAGCACTTCTCAGAGTACTCTCCGAGTATTTATCCCATTGGCCTGGTCCTGGCCTGTGGGGCATATTCCAGCAAGGCCTTAACCGCTGTCATCTGTCTTCAGGAACCAGCAGATGATGAAGCGGCCAGTCTCTGCTGTGGGATACAAGAGACCCCTGAGCCAGCATGCACGGATGTCTATGATGATTCGGCCAGAACCCCGATACAGGGTGAGAAGACTGTAGTTGTTTGTTTGTTTTTTTTTTTTTAAACTCTGTGGTCTTTGCCTCTTGGTTCTTTGCTCTTTTGGGGGTTCGACACCCAGCTCCCAAATAAATCCCACAGAGTCTTCTTCTTTGTTTTGAATGCCCAGCCTTAGTTTGGTTTGTTTCTAGCCAGGTTTTCTTAATTTAAGTTATGCTGTCCACCTTTTGCCTCAGGCTTTTATCTTTATCCTGTATACCTTTCTTTATGACTTACTCTGCGGATTGCTGTGTAGCTGGGTGGCTGGCCCCTGGAGACCTCCTCCTCCTCTCGATCCCAGATTTCTCCTATTTATTCTCTCTTCCTACCAGTCCCGCTTATCCTTTCTCCAGTCTTGCTATTGGCCATTCATCTCTCTTTTATTTTTTATTTTTTTAGGCCAATCAGGTGTTGTAGGCAGGCAAAGTAACACAGCTTCACAGAGTTAAACAAATGCAACATAAAAGAAGGCAACACATCTTTGCACTGTTAAACAAATGTAACACATCTTAAATTAACATTCCACAACAGAAGACTGTGCAATTTGAAAAAATCATTTAAATGACATTCATCTTTTAAATATATGCATGCGTGTTTGTGGGGGCGGAGAGGCATGTATGCATTTGCTATAAGTATCAGAATTCGACTCGTGGAAGCTGGTTCTCTTCTTCTACCATGGGATCCCAGGGATCAAACTCAGGTTGTCAGGCTTTGCTGCAAACATTTTTAACCCTCTAAGCCACTTCACTAGACCCAATGTTTGTGTGTGTGATTTCTTTCAGAGGAATTTAGGTTTGAGAAGTCCTCAGACACCTTTATGCCAAGTCATGGGCGTGGCCCTGACTTTCCCAGAGATCTGAGGGCATGTACAATCATTTTAACAAATCAAATATGAAATTGCAAGCGGATGATGAATACTAAATGATGGAAAGGTAGGGGTTGAGGATGACTTAGTAGTAAAGTGTTTGTCTTTTGAGCAGGAGGACCTGGGTTCAAGCCCCAAAAACCACACTCAAGTAATCAGCATGTGGCGGTCAGAGGACAATTGCAATTCCTCCTTCCACCATGGGAATCCTGGGCATTAACCTTAGGTGAACAGGCTCCGTGGCATGCGCCTTCATTCACAAACCGCCTTGCCAGCTCTGGTGGTGTGCCCTTGTAAACAAAGTACTGTCTCTTACAGGAAGGTTCCTGGGTCTGGCTGGCCATCCACTTTAGCCTAATTTGTGAGCTCCAGGCCGGAGAGAGACCCTGTCTCAAAGGAGGTGGGCAGCATTCCTGAGTATGATGCCTGAGGATGTTCTCTGGCCGCCACAGGCATGTACATACATCTGCACCTGCAGTCACACACAGAGATTGAGAACAAGAGAGGTGGAGTAAGATTTAGAACCCCAGGACAAGGAAGTGGGTAGAGAATAATCGCCCTGTCCAGAGGCCAGTAAACATTAACAGTTAAGGAGATGCTGACAGTTCTGAGACACCTTTAGAAAGATACAGAAGTTTAGTGGTGGGATATGGATATGATAAATAGAAGTAGCAGTTCCCTATGTGTCAGTTGCATAGTCATGTAAAATGACATAATTGGGCACTGCTTAATGATAACCCCCAAATACCTTGCAATAAAATGCTTCCTGTCTGCTGGGCCTATGCCTGATGTCTGACTGTCTTCTCCTGTTACAGCGCAGGTAGCTAGTAAGTGATGGACCAGGAGACAGCGATATATTACTAAGTAGTAAGGTGGTTTGTACTATTCATGATAGCATACATCTGCAATCCAGCATGTAGGAAGTAACTAAAGGCCAGCCTCAACTATATAACATGTTTCAGATCAGCCAAGGTTATATATAAAGACCTTATCTCAACAAACAAACAAAACAGGATTTTAAAAAGTTTGTGCTGGAAATGTATGTATGAATTAAAAGTGTGATGTGTGAAGTATGTGAAAATGTGATCTGCTTGCCCCTGATTGGTAACGTGTACTCAATTTAAAGTTCCTTCATTTCACTTAACTGTATTTTTGCATCTGTCTATGGGCAACCAATGTTATTTTGGTAATGAAAGAGTTTCACAGGATCACATTCTGTAGCTCAACCTGCCTTAGAACCAATATGTAGCCCACAATTACTTCAAACTCATGGCAGTCTTCCTGCTTCAGTCCTAAACACTTAAGAGTACAGGTGTGAGTCATCATAAGTGGCTTCGATTAAAAATTTAAAAACATTTTTTTTTTTCAATCTCCCTTCAAGCCAGAGCCAGATGAACTGGGTGCCCTTTGTCCCAGTGCTTAGTCATTTAAAATCGAGAAAGAAAAGCAAAAACTGCCTATTATGTGGGGTTTTACATAGAGGAGGAAGGGCGGCGTCAGGCAGAAGCCTCAGAAGCATTTTTCTGTCAGTTTCAGATGGTGCACAACTTGCTGGGGTTTTGTAATTTAGCCAAAAAAAAAAAAAAGCCTTTAAAGTGCACAGAAGTGCACAAATAAAATACGTTACTTTCCAGGGGACAGGCATGACCGAAAGTGGAATTGAAAGCAGCAACTCTCGTTGTTTGGTAATCAGTCTATTTCACTGGGGAAATTCTGTGCAGTCTGGATATTTAAAACTGATGAATGGGCCTCTCTGGAGCCCTAAGGCGACGAGACTTCCTGAGACTTCCTGGAGGCCGTGGCAGCAGCTGTGGAGTGGCGTGCGCCACTCTCTCTGGACACTTGTCTTTGGAGCTAGGAAGGACTCATTCACCACACATGATGTTTTGTGATGGAGGTGGTGCACAAACCAATTATGAAGCAGGGCCAAAAGCTGCTCCTTCAAGTGGAGCTCAAGCATGTACCTGGCCCTGCACCTGCTCCCCAGGACATACAGATGCTGCTGCCTCCAAATCAGCTGGAACATCTGTGTCAACTATTAGTGACTTTTGTCCTTGTACCTTTTCATATCTCATATGAGACATGTTTAGTGCAAAACAAAAACAAAAACCAGAAATGTTCAAAAAAGCAAAGTAGAAAATTAAAATCACCCATCTTGAATATGATGGGTCACACCTGGGAGGAGAATTTGAGGCCACTTAGTGTACATAGGATAATTAGGATATAGGAGTAAATCACACACACAGAGAGAATTCAGAAGACAGCTAGAATAATCTATAAATAGAGAAAATAAGGCAAAATTGTTATGATAAGGAACATTATATAATCATAAATGTTCCAAGAAGTTGCTAACACTTACTTACTATCATGTGTACTGCAAAGCCCAGATACATGAAGCCAGACTGAATGAATTGAACATTACAAATTAAGCCTAACACATCTGTAAAACACTTAATTTGTTCTCCCCATTGGCCCCCCAAATAATTCAAAACATGCATTATTTTTTTAATTTAAATTTGAAACAAGCTTCTTTTACATGCCAATCCCAGTTTCTGCACTTCCCATCCTCCCCTGACCCCCCCCCCATCAACCCCCATTCCATTCCCTTTCTGCTCCCCAGATTCCCTGAACATGCATTAAGTACATATTGGATGCTGTGTTTACACCAAAGAATTGAAAACACATGTCCCAGTTAGGTTTAATTGTCAATTTGACACAGCCTAGAGTGGTCTGAGAAGAAAACTTTGATTCAAGAATTGTGTAGATCAGATTGACCTGTGGGCACGTCTGTGAGGAGTTACCTTGATTATTAATTGATACAGGGGGGCTCAGCCCACTGTGGTTGGCATTATCCCTAGGTAGGTGCCCCTGGGCTGTATAAAAAAGCTAGCCACGTGTGAGGTGGTGAGTGAGCTAGCTGGCCAGCAATATTTTTCCGTGGTTCCCACTGTACTCCCTCACTGTTAATGTGTTCCCTGCTCAGAGTTAATGCTGCATGGAATAGCAAACGGCTATTCCATGGTTCCTGCGTTAGCTTTCTGCCCTGACTACCCTTAATGATGGACTGTGGTCTTGAAATATAATAGGAAGTCCTTTCCTTCCCAGGTTGTTTTTGGTCATGGCATTTGTTACAACAACAGAAAAGAAACTAGGACACATGTTCACATAAAACTTGTATATGAGGAATTGTCGTTGCATCTTTGTTCAATACTCAAAGGCCAGAAACAAATGTCTATCAACTGTCTATCATGAATGTACATGAATTGGGATGATTATGCAGCAACTTTTATTGACCATATAAAAGGGAATGAAGCATTGGTCTGGATTTCAGTACAGATGACTCATAAACATAATATTAAGTGACATCTCTGAGTTTGAGGCCAGTCTGGTCTACAGAACAAGTTCCAGGACAGCCAGGGATGCACAGAGAAACCCTGTCTTGAAAAAACAAAACAACAAAAAGGCAAAAAAGAAAGAAACAAAACAAAAGCAAAAAGAAAATGAAATGAAAACAGCAGACATCAAAGGCCACATGTGAAGCCTCTTGAGTAGACTAAGCATAGACGTGGAAAGCACGCTAGTGTTTGCCATGGGCTGTGGGAAGGCGGAAGTAGGACAAATATGTCATACATAAAAATATCCTGGAAATACCTTGTGATAATTGCACAAAATGAACATGCTAAATACTACTGAATTTTACAATGTAATATGGCTAATAGTGAATAGTATGTTCTGTAGATTTTATTTTAGTAAAAATTAAAAGTAAAGCCCGGTGGTGGTTGCCCGGGCCTTTAATCCCAGGACTTGGGAGGTGAAGGCAGGTGGAGCTCTTGAGTTTGAGGCTAGCCTGGTCTACAGAGTGAGTTCCAGTACAGCCAGGGCTACACAGAGAAACCCTGGAAAAATAAAACAAAGCCAAAAAACCACTTTCAGTCCCACCAGGAAAAAAAAAAAAAAAAAAACATAAAACATAATTCCTGGGGCTATGGAGGTGACTCGGTTGGTAAAGTGCTATGACTATAACCATGGGTATGTGAATTCAAATCCCTGATACCCATATAAAAAGCTGGGAGCTAAGCCTGTTCTACAGAGTAGTTCCAGGATCCCCAGGGGCACACAGAGAAACCCTGACACAAAACAAAACACGCACACGCACACGCACTGGAAGCTGCAGATGCACCTGATGAGCTTGCAGTCTCAGTGCTGAGGGGGATGAGATGGGAGGAGACAGGAGGAGATGGGAGGATCTTGAGGGCCTGCGGCCAGCCAGTCTAGTTGATTGTTAACTTCAGGCTCACATAGGTACCCTGTCTCAAAAAACAGGTGAAGTGCATGTGCATGGGGTAGTGCACGCTTGTAATCCCAGCCCCTGGGAGGCACAGGAAGTTGAATTTCTGAGTTTGAGGTCAACCTAGTCTACATAATGAGTTCCAGCCCAGCCACAGCTCCACAGTGAGACCCCGTCTAAAAAAAGTGAACAATAGAAGACACCTGACATTTGGCTTCCATAAATGTGTTTGTGTATACACATGCAACACTATTATTTTGGGCAGGCTCTTTTAAAACATGTTTTTATTATTATATTACATTTATGTGTGTTTGGATACACATGTGTCATGACACGTGTGCAGATCAGAGGACAACTTATGGGAGTCCATTCTTTTGACTTTGTGGGCTTCAAGGATTGAACTCAGGTCATCAGGCTTAATAGCCAGCACCTTTTATTGATGAGCCATCTTGCTAGCCCTCCTGGGAAGCTCTTAATGACAAGTAGCTTACAATTCTGTTCTCAGAGGTTGCTGATGGCTGCTTTGCTTCTGCAGGCAGAAAACATCATGCTCTTGGAGTTGGATATGCCCAGCCGGACGACCAGAGATTATGAGGGCCCAGCCATTTCTCCCAAGGTCCAGGCTGCTCTAGATGCAGCTCTGCAGGATGAAGATGAGATACAGGTGGATGCATCATCCTTTGAAAGCACTGCAAACAGAAAATCCAAGGCCAGGTGAGTGACTTCTGGTGACCTGTGTCTCAAAGGATGTAGGAGCCAGGTGTGCAAGTGAACACTTTAATCCCAGCACTCAGGAGACCCTGGTCCCAGCCCTTGTTGATTTTGGCCTGCACTTGCTGAGCATCCAAGTCCCTCCTTTCAGGTTTCACACCTCTCCTGGAAGGTGGGTTAACCAGGCCCAGATGGTCATGCTAATCTAGTCTAGTGGGTTTATAGTTCAAAGGATCCTGGTTTTCAGGCCTTTGAGAAAGGCCACCTTCAAGTACGCATGCTGCTTGGTAATGTGCATTTGTTTGCCTTTTGCAGGCCCAAGAGTGGCAGGAAATCAGGATCCTCCTCTTCCTCCTCAGGAAACCCTGCATCTCAGTTTTACCCACAGTCTCGGGGGCTGGTTCCCAAGTAACCCAGCACCCCCTCCCAGGGTAGGAACAGCGTTGTCTTCTGAGAGAAGAGCGAGCACAAAACTGCAGAGATGACTTGAGCCTAAACGCAGAACCATTCCCCTGAGGAGAAGAGATGGCCTCTTTGCAGATTAGCCAACTCAATCTGCCTGAACATGCTGGTCCTGATTTGGCACTCAGCTCCTCTGGGAAGTGTCCTTGAATTAGCATCTCAGAAATGCATGGGTAAGGTAAAGTGCAAAGTCCAAGTGGACAGCAAGAGAATGACCACAACCTTGCTTTCCTTCTTACCCCCTTCCCCACCCTCCCTTCCTCTCCTGTCTTCTAGCCTCTTCCTCACACCAGGTTCCCTTCTTGTTAAACAATATGACGTCGAGGCCTCCTTAGGACCATTTGTGTGGAGGCCTGGAGTCAAATGACAGTGGAGCTGGGGAGTAAAAGCCCTAGAACTCGAATAGGTGCCTGCTTTTGTCAGGTGAAATGAAGAGATCTCACTTGGAACCAAGGCCCAGGATGGCACAGCCAGCGATCCAGCTTCCAGGCCCCTCGGTAGGAGTAGATCTGCCTGTGGAATCTGCTGAATGGGGCAATGGCTTCCAGTTCCTGCTCCAGAAGGACTTGGTGTTGGAAGCAATAGAAAAGACATTCCCTTTGCCTCCAGGGAGAGTTTGGGGAAATAGCTTTTTTTAAACCTCAAAACCATGAGCATCCTGTTAAAGACCTAAGTCTATAAACCAGTGCCATGTCCATCTTCCATGTCACTTTACTCTTCATTTGTCACCGTCTTTCCCCAAGTGTACATGCTGAATGGACTCGTGCAGACACACCTTCAGAGTGTGCCCACAGAGTGTGCTCAGAGGTGGGCTTCTGTACGGGAGGAGGGAGGCTGACTCTGCCTTCTCTGATGGCACTAAAGTTGGGGCAAGGCCTCAGGAAGGGACACCTTTGAATTCCTCAGTTAGGTCCATTCTATCATGGGAGCAGTAGAATGACTAGGTAATGCAGAGCTGAAGGCAGGGGACTCAGGGCGGGGGGGGGGGGGGGGGGGGGGGGAGACAGACATGAAAGCAAAGGAGCCTGTCTGCCTGGAGCAGAAAATCCACTGACTCCTAGAAGTGTGGCAAAAAGAGTCTCTGAGGGAGTAGGCTCAGAGGAGAGTTCACACTTCCCGTTTACATAGACAAATTTAGTCTGTAAGTTTTAGTTCTTCATATTATGGCACCTTGAGCTTTGTTTTATGTTGGTCATTAGGTGACAGTTACTTATTTTCCCCAAGTGAAATGCATGAGTGTGTGAGGCTGTGTGTGCCTGTGCTCTGGGTGTGTCTGGAAGAGAGAGTGAAACCTTGCCCATTTTAGAAATACTCCCAACGTGCAGTCTTTGCCCCTGTCTGTGGTAAAGGCCCAGTGAATGGCTAATCCAGGCTACAAGCATGCCCCCATGTGTGTCTGAGTCCATGATCTAAGCCTGAGGGGACAATCTTGAGCCCCCAAGTCTGCCTGACACACTGGTGCACCTTGCTGGCATGGTGCTTCAGGAAGATGGTAACTCAGGTGGGCCTTGAGATGCATTTTTAACTCAGCTGCTCTGTCTCCAGGTACATTTCTGGATCAGGACCCATGGGAAGGAGGAGGTACCAAGTATAATGTCTTGACATTCTGCAGAATGGAGATCCATTCATCCCCATATTAATTAGCATTCATTTTGAGCCCAGGGCCCTATTCAGCAGTTCCTAGGGTATAATGGATCCTATCCTTACCTTTTCTTGGGTTCAAACCCTGCTTTTTCCTTATGTACTAAGAATTTGCCTGTTTGAATAGGAACCAAATGATGAGATGTGTGGTCTAAAATGGCTGTCTGCTGGTGACGCTGTCTTTGTTACCACATTTCCTCACAGCTAGTCTGAATTCTGTAAGCTGAAAACATTCATGTAGCAAAGCGAAGGATTGCAAACTTGAGGTGATACCATACCTTAAAACTGGTGTCTTGAGGTGGCTAACGTGAGGGGGGTGTTGGTGGTGGTTAAGGGGTACACAACTTTTCCAGCAAAATAAAAGAAGAAAGCCAGCTGACAGTCGCGATTATTAAAGCTAGCTTTGCCCTGTCTTCAGCTGTATTCCTACAGTGTCTGTGGAAACCAAGTCGAAGGGCCATGCATGTGGCCATGAAGCTGTCTCTTCCTGGGCAGCTGCTGGTGCTTCTCTTCTCAATATGGATCCGATACTGAAAAGATCAGATGCTAAAATGTCTTGCTCCCCCAGAATGCTGCTGCTTGGAGCTCTGAATCGAGCCAAGAGTAGAGGACAGATCAAGCTCACTGAGGGACCAAAACTTTATACTGACAGTTATCTAGAATGTTCTGGGATTCTGGAAGGCCCTCATGCCTGCAGCAGCTGTTGTAGTCTAAACGCAAGTCTTTAAAAGGATCTGAGAAGAGCATCTGGGAGGTGTTTGAGGCTGAACACACAATCTTCATCAGACTCTCTTTTCCTCTCATCAGTAGACTGTATCTGACTTCAAATGACACAATTCCCAGAACCCTAGATTCAGAATCAGAGGCCACAGATCATAGGCATGAAGCACTTTTTTAAGACTGACCTGTGTTGAGTTCTCCCTGTCAGATGCCTGCATGCTGCTTGAAATGCTCCACCTACACCTCCATGACCAAGGGTGCCAGAGTGTGGTACAGCTCAGGCATGGGCCACTGTCTGCCCTTCCTGACTCTTATTAAGTCCTCCCTTGCTGAATGTAGACTCCGCCAAGTTTCTGAGAAGCGTCGATTCCCTGCTAACATAGGCTATCAGTTCTGCCTCCCTTTTGCCTCTTGAGTTTGAGGAGTACTCTGTGAACACCTTGGGCCATCCAGATACCATCGATGGATGAAATGGGCTACTCATGTACTCTGAAAGCCATAATGCAAAAAGCTCAGAGGAAACTAGGTAAGGACAGCGTGCTCCACAGTTATCATGTGAGTCTTGGTCTGGTACTTTCGGATTCTGGCACCTCCCTCTCTAACCTGTCTCTTGAATGAAATGTCCTGGAGGTTATTTATGAAAGGATTGATGTGGGCAGGCAGGAGGTGGGGGTTTGATGGCTCTTTGGAGTTACTAATGATCTTGACCTTCTCTTTGGCGGTCGTTAGACAAAGGATATGCCAATACTTGGGATTCTTAAGTTTTACAATTGATATTTATTTGTATTATCTCTTTGTCTAGCGATGTAAAAGTGATTCTTAACTAAGATGTGTAATAAAACGCAATCAGATTTATTGTATCTACAAAAAGGTGTCCTTGTAAATGATTAGTGCCTTTTAAAGAGACTTGCCTGTAGCTGATATGCTGTGGTTTTTCTTCCAGTGTTCAAGGAGAATAGCGTTGAGTGTAATACTGACATTCAAAAAACGCAGCAATGAAAGTGAGAAGGAGCACAGGGCTGGGGTGTGGCTCAGTGGTTGAACTCTTGCCTGACCTGTACAAGGCCCTGTCTTGATCCCCAACATCACCAAAGGGGAAGACGAATAGAAGGAAAGAAAGAGACCAAAAGTTTGTGTCATATTTTGTGGCAGTTCTGACCTTAGGTCCTTGGGCCTGGGCAAGAGGCATGAAAATTTTCAACTTTATATTTTGTCTTTTAAAGTTATTTTGAAGGTATTATACATTATACAATTTATTTTAAAATACAACCATGTCTCTTTTAAAAAACAAAATGGCATGTTGTTTACCATTAAGAAATCAAAATATCAAAACTGGGCCTCGTGTCTTGTAGATCCTCATACCCTAAGGCATACTGGGTGCACCTCAGCAGGTTCTGCACCCCCTCTAGAGAAGTGGGACCAACAGAAGGAACCTTGGATTAGTTGCTTCTATTGCTGTGATAAAGTTCAATGGTCAAACACAACTTACAGAAGAAAGAGTTTATTTTGGCTTACAATCTCAGAGGGTAGGAGTCCATTGTGGCAGGAAAGCATGGCAGCAAGTAGCAGGAAGCTCAAACCTCCTATCTCTGCCACACACAGGAAGCAGAGAGGAAGAACTGGAATGGGCAAAGCTATAAACTCTTACGCCCACCCCCAGTGACGGACATTTTCCATCAAGGCTCCTCAAAGTTCCCAAAGTTCTAAAAGTTCTATAATCCCCTTAGACAGCTTTAAATCTATAAGGATATGGGGGATGGTTCGCATTTAAACCACCAGAACCCCAGACTTTGGACTCTGATATGGGTTTGAATTCTAGCATTGACTTGGCTTTCTAGCTCTGTGAATATGAGGAATTTAATTTACTTCTCTGGATTTTGGAGCCCCTATCTATTAGGTGGGGTGAGAATAGCCTTGCAGGGCCCTTCTGGAAGCAACCAGCACAGTGTGTGCCCCAGAGCAATGTTTAACAGTATGGTCATTGCTACAATAAGGTCACATTGATGTGATGAACAATCAATGACTCAGGAAACCAGGAGCCAGTGCTGAGCAAATCAGTTTTACATTTGATATTAGACAAAGGCTTAAAACCATCTTTAGCAGATTCTAAAGAAAAGCAACTCCTCATTTAACATCCTCAACTACCTACTGTATACCAAGCCACCAGTGTACTAAGTTGGTTACTGGCACATGGAAAAAGGATGGTGCTTGCACTTTAAAGGGGAAGTGTTAACCAAGAGTATATAAATAAAGGCTTCAATCCCAGCACTCAGGAGGCAGAAGCAGGTAGACTTCTGTGAGTTCAAGGCCAGCCTGGGCTACAGAGCAACTTCCAGGACAACCAGGGACGAGAAACAAACCCTGTCTGGAAACAAACAAAAACAAAACAAAACAAAAAAAACCAAGCAAACAATAGAACCCCATAATCTTCATAAATCCCATGAAGTAGCATGACAATATAAAGGATAGGTAGTAAATGAAGCATGGGCTCCTGAGAAATGGACTGACGGGGGGGGGGGGGGGGGGGCCTGGAGCACAGGAGTGAGCGGGATGGGGAGGAAGGAAAGAATCAGTGACCAGGTGGGAACAGCACTCGCAAAGGCCTTGTAGAAGCTGGCACTGACGCTGGTGGTGCCGAGGCACACGTGGTCCTGTAACACTGAGCTGCCGCCTCCAATCCCCTGCAGTCCTATACACTCCCCCGGGGGAAACACCTTCTACAGAAAGGTTATGTAGCGTAGAACCCCCAAAATACCAATAAGAAATTCACACGTGAGCTGGAGAGATCGGTTCAACAATTGAGATCAACGCTGTTGCTCTTCCAGAGGGCCCGGGTTTGATTCCCACCCCTCAAATGGTGGCTCAGAACTGTAACTCTAGTTCTGGGGGAATCCAATGCTGTCTTCCGGCCTCCACAGGCACTAGGTACAGACATACATGCAGGCAAAACGCCCATTAACATAAAATGAGGAAAAGATTCACACAGCACTAAGATAACGACTTGTATGACTTAGGCAAAGTTTTATTTTCTTCATAAAGTATACTCAAATTTTGTGTAGCATGCTTTTACTTTCCAACCTGTTCCATAAGGAAACCCAAAGCCTGCCTTGGCTTAATAAGTACTAGTGGAAAATAGAATCTATTAAGTTGAAACCAAGTACTTGAAGGGCGATCTGAATTGTATGTGTGTGCGTGTTTTCTTATTTTACATAGCCATCCCAATTCCCTCTCCTTCCCATCCTCCCATATCCTCCACTGCCCCCCAATCCCAGCCCCCATCCACTCCCCAGGGAGGGTGAGGCCATCCATGAGGGAACATCAAAATCTGTCAAGTCATTT